TACACAGCAAAACAAAGAGCTGAGAAAAGTCTGGAAGAGAGAACTGAGGATATGCGACTAGCAGATAGCGTGGTAGGGAAAACAGTATAGAAAGCCAAATGGAAAGGAACCCGGAAGAAACTCAACACATCTCAGGGGATTCAGCAAATGACAGCAGGGACATCTCCAGGCTACAGAGGGGAGACAGCTGCAGAAGTTAACTTACGTACTTTTGGATCAAAGCAACCAGTTAGCTGGGGACTTGAATCAAGTAAACTGCCCTCCCCAGTATCAGCATCCACACTATCATCCAAATCCTGAGGCCAGATTCAAAGAAGTCACAGGGAAAGCAGACTCCATTCAGACCATGCCTGCGCCAGCACCCTTCTAGGTCTCCAGGCTACAACACAAAATTTGGACTTCTCACCCTTTATCCATTTCATTTGTTAGAAATGCCCCTTTGTTTATTCTGATGATGTGTACACACACATTCCACACAAAAGTGCACATGTAGAGGTCAGTAGAAAACTTTTGGAAATAACGTCTTTCTTTCTACCATATGGATTCTGGGGGACTAAACACAGTCATCAGGGATAGTGAGTAGCACCTTTACCAATTGAGCCATCTCACAGTACCCCCAACCCCCTCCACTCCTACAATAAAAACAAACCAGTTCCTACCAACACACACACACACACACACACACACACACACACACACACACACGGGAGGGGGGTATTGTGTTCCAGGAGAGCCTACCAAAAGGCAGACAATTTTTATGAATCAATTTTAAAACCAAATTGGAAGAAGCCAAGATTAAAAGACATGAATTTACAGACCAGGAGAAAGGCAAACAAAAACGTTTTTAAATACAGACACAATCGGCACTACCTCCCAGAAATCCACGTGAGACACTGGTAACAAGTACAGGACAGTATTTATCCATGGAAATGGTATACAAACTGAGATGGTGCTGTGGGACAATGGTCTGTACCCCGTAAAGATTTGTCACCTGTATTAGTTCAATAGAATACTGATTGGCCAGTAGCCAGGCAGGAAGTATAGGCAGGGCAACCAGAACAGGAGAATTCTGGGAAGAGGAAAGGCTGAGTCTGCAGTCATCATGCAGACACTGAGGAAGCAAGACGAGAATGCCTCACTGATAAAAGGTGACAAGTAGCTAACACAGACAAGAATTGTGCATTTCTGTAGGATGTAAGAGTTAATAATAAGCCTGAGCTAATAGGTCAAACAGCTTATAATTAATGTAAGCCTCTGTGTGTTTCTTTGGGACTGAATGGCTACAGGACCAGGTGGGACAGAAACCTCTGTCAACAAGGTGGCCTCCCCAGGGAGCCATCTGGAAGAGAAAGAGGAAACACACCCACCCTCTGACATCCGGTGCTACCTGTGCAAATCACCCTACAGATACTGTTGCCTGCTTAACAGATGATACACACATAGGTTGTAAGGGCAACACTGCTTGAATTACAACTTCAATGTCATTAAAAAGAACTGATTAAATATACTATATGTCTATAAAACCCAATAAGGCTATAAAGAACTGAAAATTCGAGAAAATATATTTATGTGAGTGGATAACAGAGTAACAAAAAAATAAACATGGTATCACAGTACACCTTCAATTGTATAAAAAAGGACAGGAGATGCACCATACCATGCACTATCAAATATAAGTATATAGCATGCATACATAAATGCATGTACCTGTATATCTATAATAGTATGGTTGTCTGGCAAAGGGTGGTATGGCGGTAACATAGCTAGAGATAATTAAGATGCCAAGAAACTTTTCTCTTTTTTCTTTTAAGATGATCTATAGATATCAAATTAAACTTTAAAAATATTCAGATATTCTATAGCTCAAGAGTTAGAATATATCAGGGTGGTGGTGGCACATATCTCTAATCCTAGCACTCTGGAGGCAGAGGCAGATGGATCTCTGAGTTCTAAGCCAGCCTGGTCTACAGAGCAAGTTCCAGAACAACCAGGGCAAGATAGGGAAACCCTGTTTCAAAACGGAAACGAACAAACAAACAAAAAGACATAAGAAAAAAAGTCCTGACATTTGTGGTTTTACCCAGAATACATATTTTAAGGAATCATTTTCTTTTAAATAACAATATATTTATTTAGGTTTTTTGATTGTTTGTTTATTATTTATCTTACATTCTGACCAAAGTGTCCCCTCCCTCTTCTCCCAGTCCCTTCCCCCTTAAGTGACCATTTTTATAATAAGCCATCATAGTCAAGATACAGTATTTCTTAACATATACTTCAATGTATTCAGATCAATAAAAGGACAGTGATAACAGCAAAATAATCCCTAAACTAAGGACATTAAAACAGTATTCATTAAAACAGGTTCTACCTGTGGCACACTGTCAATATTTAAATATGAAGGATATGAATTGACAAATTGCCATCTTCTGGAAGCCGTCGGTAAACTCTTCATAAAGGAAGAGAAATTGGAGCTTGGTCCTGAGGAAGTGACAGGTACTCAGAGTCCTTAATCAAACTGGTTAGACAATTGTGAGACTCATTTTAGCACACGAGAGTAAAATGAGCAATGCAATCTACTTGAGTGTTTCAACGAAATGACAAAGATCCTATGCCCATAGATAAGTTCAATAAGGTTCTGGAAGCCCTCACAAAAGCCTGTAACTTCATCTATCAAAACCTGATGTGGGAGGTCCTTCTGTATATGTGCTGCTTTTATTGGTTAATGAATAAAGAAACTGGCTTGGCCTGATAGGGCAGAGTAGAACTAGGCAGGGAAAACTAAACTGAATGCTGGGAGAAAGAAGGCGGGGTCACAAAGAAGCCACGTAACCCAACGGCAAAAGACGCCAGAACTTTACACAGTAAGCTATAGCGTCATGGCAATACACAGATTAATAGAGATGGGATAATTTAAGATATGAGTTAGCCAGAAATATGCTTAAGTTATTGGCCAAACAGTATTGCACATAATATGGTTTCTGTGAGATTATTTTGGGGTTGAACAGCCAGGAACAAACAAGCAGTCTTCTTACAACAAAAACCCAAGTGCCAGTCCCTCTCAGTTAAAGGAATGGATACGGAAGAGCTTCAAAATGTTCACACACTAGTAGGAGCAAGATGAAATAACTAAAGTACTGTACACCCCAGACTGGCTGCTCAAGCATTTAAAACATACATATGTCGGAAGGAGGACTAGACGCCAGCTTCATTCTCTCTAGGGGCTCTAATTTGCTTTGCTTAAAACCATAAACACCCTTCACAGTTTTATAATCAAAGTCATGTGGCAATGAACTTCAACAAATCCCTGCATATACTTTTGTTTTTAAAGACAGGGTTTCTCTGCAGCTTTGGAGCCTGTCCTGGAACTAGCTCTTGTAGACCAGTCTGGCCTCGAACTCAGAGTGATCTGCCTGCGTGCATCTCCACTGCACAGGGAGAGGGGCACGGGGGGGGGGGTATGCTTTTAAAATGCACTCAATTAAAATGAAGTTCCATGGTTAAGAGCACTTGCTGCTCTTTCAGGACACAAATTAGATTCTCAGCACCCACATAGCATTCACAACTACCTGTTAAGTCCAGCTCAAGGAGAGACCTGACTCCCCTGCACTCATGTGTACCAAACTGCACAGACACACACACACACACACAGACGCACACACACACACACACACACACACACACATATAAAATTAAGACAACACATTTTTTAAATTAAGCTCTACATGTTTACATATTTAATTTAAGGTCTGAAATCTTCACTCCATCAAAAAGCCCTTAGATGAAGAAGCCTGTGTCACATATATTCCTTCTCCTTACCACACCCATCCCACAAAAGAAAGAGGATGGAGGAGAAGGTTAGCATGCAAGGAGGCATGTGCTCTGTAGGAGACTGGAGCGCTACTGGGCACAGCTGGGCGCAGAGCAAGGCTCTCAGCTGCCCACATCTCACTCCCCTCAAGAGCCACAGTCTAAAACAAATGACACAGAATCAAACAAATATGCATGCACCTTATACTATTTTTCTCAACTATGTAAGCTGAACTATATGGCCCAGTAACAAATACTTTTACATTCCTATTACATTTATGTATTTGTGAGTACTCATACAGGTGGAGGTCAGAGGACAGACGTTGGGAGTCTGATCTCATTCTACCACATGGGTCCTGGGGATTGGATTCAGCTCACCAGGCACAGGCAGGTGCCTTTACCTGCTCAGCCATCATCTTCCCTGCCTCCAAAACAAGTCCGTAACTCGTCTAAGTTCAACCAGAAACTAGATGTGCGTGGTGGCAGTGCACAGTCCCAGCACTCAGGAGAGCCATGGCAGAGGATCAAAGGTGAGAGGGGAGGAAATCAGGCAGAAAAGGGAAGACCAGGAAGCTATTTAGAGGATGGTGGCTGGCCATTCTGTGCGTATCTTAGTGTACTATGACTGAGCTTCAAGAGAAGCTCCAAGGCCACCATGCTCCATGCTGTGGCCCTTAACATTCAGACTGAAAAGGCCAAGATAAAATGCCGGCTAGGAGGGTCACATAACCTGCAAACCCTCCTGTGGGGCCTCACCGAGGTAGAAAGACTTAGAACACAAATGAACGTGACCTGAGTGACACTCTCTGCTGCCACTAGTCAGGAATGCCAGCAGTTACTGCAAGTTATTCTTCCCAGTCTTCAGCTCACTGTGTAGGACGCGGTGGGGAGAGGAGAGGCAGCAGTGAGAAGAAGGGTTAGATCCCTGTTTCCTGCAGCATGATGATGCACGACTTTAATCCCAGGACTCAGGAAACTGAGGCAGGTCAATATCTGGGTGTTCAAGGCCAGCCTGGCCTACAGAGCTAGTTCCAGGACAGCCAGGGCTATACACAAAAACCCTGTCACACACACACAAAGCATCCCCCTCCAATAACTCCTAAAGGGCAGGAGGATTTCCAGGGCACAGTCAGCCTCTGAACACATACTTGGAGGAGAAAACAGGACCTGGGGGCAGCAGACACGCTCACCTGCTGTGGCTGGTACCTCTGCTGGGACTGGGGCTGCAGGTACTGGGCCTGGGGCGGGAGGTGCGGGGGCTGCGGCTGCTGGTTGTAGTATGGCTGCTGGCCTTGCTGGCAGTAACCACTCACACCTTGCTGTCCATACTGCGGCGGCATCTGTAAGAAAGGCAAACGAAGCAAATGAGGACTGAAGAGATGGAAGTAAATGAACTTGAATAGGGGTTTGACGCCATCGTGTGAAGGGAGACACAATGCAGTGGTTTACAGCTCTTCTCATAACTTGACTTTCTGCTTCTGTCACATACCATCAACAGACAGTGTGACATCTATCAGGTATCAATGTCTAGGAGTAGGGGTCATTCAAACCCCCCAAGCAAACTCGTGATGAGTTCACACAGTCCAGGCTAACTCACTCACACTGTAGGAAGGCTGTGATCGGGTACACGGTGTGCTGAACACGCTTTTCAGCCTCTAACAGATGTGAGCTGATGACGTCAGCACCTCCAATTACTAATACACTATAAGGAAAGTGTGCTCGTTGCCATCAAATAAAACCCCTTGGTCTTAAATGTGTCTCAAAGGCCCAAGTGCAGAAATCTGGAGCTCCTGTGAGGCCTGCAGGACAATGGGGCACTCTCAGAGGGAACAGTGGGACTCCAACCCCTTGCACACTCATCTCTGTTGCTGTCCATGCAGTGAGCTCTTTTCTCCGGCATGTGTTCCCGCCATGTTGTGCGGCCTATCAAGGACGCTGAGCCACAGGGCCAGCCAATCATGTGCCCTCAAAACTGGGAGCCAAGAATCTGCTTCCCTATTCGAGAGGATTACCTCAGACTTTGTCTTAGTAATGGAAAGCTAATGCATACATAGAAGATACTAACTATATCAAATAATACCATGCCCAATGTGTGTTCCTGAAAGACAGATGTCCATCCAATAGAGGGTAGATTTCATAGCTGACAGAACAGGCAATAACAAAGAACCCTACACTGCAAAGACCAGAGCTAGATCCAGACAGCAGAAATCATTCTTCTTATCTCCAGCGCCCTGCCACCTAAATTCCTAAGTCACTCACTGCTCAGAGGAAAGTCCTCTCTTGTGTAAAAAATATAACACTGACTGTATTTTCTTCAAAGTGATCCCCACACACCTAATAGAGTTGTTGGGTTTTGGGGTTTTTTGTTTGTTTGTTTGTTAGTCTTTTTTGTGTGTGTGTTCCCAACCCCAACCCAATTGGGAGAGCAGGAAAGAAAAAGAAAAACAAGATCAGGCAGTGAGACCCACTCAGCTGCTAAGGATAGTGACATTATTCTCCTGTTAATAATACCACAATATGGTCCATGAGAGAACTCCAAGAACTTCAGCCCCATGAGCCCACACATTTCAGAAACCAAAGGACCAGATCCACATTGAAGAGCCAAATTATCTACAAACATTCTAATGAGTAAAAAAAAAAAAGTGAAAAAATAATATTTAATACTAAAAAGTTTATCTCCAAGACAATGCACAAGTTCACAGCACATACAATGGAATCAAAGGAAAATAATGCAAAAAAAATAAAAAATAAAAAAGCCAATGCTCCTGTTCCTTTCAACCCAGGTCAATTATTTTCTAAAACCTTCCTGCAATAACTGCAGAAAATATGGTCAAATTAGTTCACAGGCTTCTCACATACAGAGCCTAGGCTGCTAAGGCAAGGCAAGTTTAAAATAATAATAATAATAATAATAATAATAATAATAATAACATTAAAGAAATCTTTGCTTTATTTTAGTTTGATATTTTACAACGAAACAGTGTTAAACCAAAAATTGCTCATACAGTTCAACTCCACATACTAGAATACCCGTACAAGGACCACGTGTGCTCCTCCCATTCAATGCTCACATGTCTGATTTGGTATCTAAAGCAGGATTTCACATGTAGCTGAACTTCACATACTAGAATACCTGCACCGGGACCACGTGTGCTCCCCCCCCATTCAATGCTCACATGTCTGATTTGGTATCTGGATTTCACATGGCACCTCTGTGCAATTTGAAGCAGCGAGGATAACATGTCTGCCTGTGTTACGATGACTGCAAGCCTCAGTCAACACAGCCAGCAACCCCCCCCCCCCCCGAGGAGCTTTGTGCTAATATGTTGACTCCATGGTGTATGGAAACTCTCACACACACTATGGAAGTGGTATTTGGGAGAGGGCCTCTGTCTTACACGACAGCAAGTATGGCCCATCCCATCATTTGTCAACCATGTGAGCTGTAAAACTGGACGCGATGAAGGTGTTCATATCAAGGCTGCTGCTCCTCATTGAACTACAAGCTGTAATGTGGCATTAACTGCTCCCTAAGCGCTGCTTTAAGAACCAACTTCTCACCATGATAAGTAACTCCTAGGCTGAAGCGAAGGCTCTCAGCTCTTGAATAGTCAGTTGGTTTTGTTTTGGCCAGTTTAGAAGTAGAACTTTCAAACACTGCATGCTTCTGCAGACTTCTTAAACGAAATTGCACTATTTTAAAACAAAGACCCCAAAAGTCCAGGAGCCGCTGTCTCCTTCTCAGTTCTTGGCCATCAGGGCCCCAGTGTAACTCTGTCACTCCTGCAGTGCTAACTAGGCCTGAGAAGCCCACGAGCACTGCCCAAGTGACAAAGGATGTGTCTATGAGGAACTCCCTGTAGATCCATGCTGACTCCTCAGGGTCCTGGGACTCTCACTTGTTCTCACCATGTTTGGAATCAACTGAGATTACAGACTGACAAGCAAGTGAGGCTGACAGTTTGGCATTTGCACTTCAAGAACAATGTTTAAATAAAAACAGAATCCTAAATGCATGTACACTCAATACACCAAACTATACATATGAGGTTCAAACTTAGACCACAGAAATCAAGGTAACAGATTGCAAGACACTGGGAACTTTCTGGGAGTGATAAAACTATCCTTAATTTGTAGATAGTTTCATGGATACTTGGACATTTGTCAAAATGCATCAAACTACATGCTTACTTAAAATCTGGGCATTGTAATATATATAAATCATACCGAAAATATTATAAAAATACACATCTACATCTAATAGAGAAAAAGTATCTAGATTGTTGACCTCACATTTTTACTGTTTGGTAAGACATTTTGATACACATATCAAGCATCTCCTTCCTGCCTTGCTTATGTGGCAGGCTCTATTTGACTATTGAGTAGATTGCTCATAGACGCTTAAGGGTGTTTTTCAGGTGTACAATTCATGTAACGAAAGTTAGAGAGCAACTGGGCATACTGAAACAATCAGGACTTCTATTCAAATAAAAATGCAGGCCTCTAAGGTAGGACACAAAGTGTACAGAAGCTACGTCTTCTTTACTTGGATTATGTCTCTAGGTATTTATTTATCTTAAGGGGAAAAAATGAAGCAAGTAAGCATCATTTGCATGGCTGGGAGTTTAATTTTGCCTGCTGAAAATTTAGAAGAGTCTAAAAACTCAAAGTCCATCAACAGACTCATTAAAAAGGCGGGGGAGTCAAAATATGACAGTGCCATTGAACACACTGGTTCTCACTACAGACAAAACGAGGAGTCCTTGTGCGCCTCTGATCCAGGACTTAAGTTAACAAACTGCAAAGCAATAAACAATGCTGTTTTATATAAAAATCTGGGGGTTCATGTGTGTACAAAAATTATCTACAGAATATGGCAGTGTTATCAAATCCTTAACCTGATTAATGACTTTTTCATGATTGTAGAACAAAATGTAATTTATTTCTGATTATTTAACACTGTTATCTTCTAAGAGTCAATAGAAAGTATACTGTAGCAACTTACCTTTAACAGCAGAAATCTCTGTAATTTGTTTTTCCTTAGTAGAGTTAGTCCCTCCCAGGTAAAATCTACACAACAGGAAGTCAAACTACAGAAAACATCTTCAGTTCAACAGCTCCACTCAGGTGAGACAAGCTCTCCTGGATTCTGAGTTCACAGAAATGTCAAATATTTTCCATGCATGAGAGAAACTAAAAGTCTCACACAGCAAAAAATCCAGACCCTCAGCTGATGGCTGGCTGAAGCAGCTGCAGCAAGAATGCGACAGTGTCAACATGTCCGCACAGACTAGAGTGCTACAGTGTCAACATGTCCACACAGACTAGAGTGCTACAGTGTCAACATGTCCGCACAGACTAGAGTGTGGCCGGCAATGGAATTAACAAGAGCAGTCATTCAATCCAAGTCCCCAGCTGAGAATGAGAAACAACCCAGGTGCTCATTCCTCACAAGAAAACAGACCCTGTCCTAAGGCTCACCTAAGGAGAGACTACTCCACAACTTCCTCAAATCAGTTCTTTGTGTGGGAAAGAAAAAGTCATCAACAAAGGTGCTGTGTTCATCACCCACACGGTGCAATAAGCCAAGTTTACACACACACATACACACACACACACACACACACACACACCCCAGAGAGAGAGAGAGAGAGAGAGAGAGAGAGAGAGAGATTAAGCTGGAGCTAGGAGACCCTGACACAGCATTCCTGGATCAAAGCGGTCTCATACCCAAGATGCAACAGGAGGCAGGGTACTGGAGCTCCAGGTATCTCAGGCTGCTGTGGGCCCCACCCCCACTTCTGTCTGTTCCCTGGCTCCCAGAAGGTTCTATACCACAAACACTGCTATCCAACTCAAAAACAATACAACATAACTGGGATGGTTTAGCAAGCCATCCGCCCAACCCCTCAGCAAGAAATTTAAGCTTTTTATGCCATACAGTAGATTTACATTTGTGTTGGTGAAACAATGAAAAGCTCTCGTCTATTACTAGCAACAGCCTTTTTTTAAATGACAAATCTGTTATTAAGCTTTCTTAGCACGGTACACTCAACATAAGATTTTACAGATAGAAACATATGAAATAATACCTATCGTTATATTGCTTGGGTTTACTTTACAGTTATTCACTGCCTACGAAATTTCAGGGCTTACTCTAGGTGCAACTGTTCTCTGTTTAACAAACCACAGTGCAAATGAACAGGAGGTCGGAACTACGTACTCAGAGCGAACCTGCTTTACGGCTGTGGGAACTAAATGATAGTGTCTCTTGTAACCTCAGTTT